GGGAGTTTCTCTCCGTCTAAGAGGCCATGTTTAATAGGCCACGATGAGGGCCGTCCTGCTGTATGGTAATGAGACCTGGTCCCTTCTTTCTGATGATCTGAAGCGTCTTCAAGTCTTTGATCATCTCTGTCTTCTGAACATTTCTGGTGTAAGATGGCACCATTGTGTCCGCAACGATTATGTGCGTGGGCGAGTACTAGGTAATGATGGCCGTCTCAATGAGGCTGGACCTTACCGTGGTGCGATGGTTTGTGTGCCTCAGTGATCAATTGGGCTATGCTGAGTGGTACTTTTGCACCTTCAAAGTCACTCATACCAGATTAGTCAATGGTTAGAGGTCAGAGAAACTCAGCCTCCTGGTCCTTCAGGTTGGGGGTTGGAATAAGGGTGGCACGTTATTCCTTCAAACGGACTCTTTGGAGTCTGACGCCAAACCAGCTGCCTTGCGGTAAGGTTCTTAAACCAAAGGCTTTGGGTGAGAACCCTAATCATTCTCCTGTCAATGTCTGGACAACCTGACAGTATCCTGCCCACGCAATACAATGAATTTCTCTTCCAACAAATCTCTGATGCTCTGTTCCCCGCAGAGGATAATCAACGGTGCCCTATCTGCTGCATCGTGCAGGGTGGATAGAGGTTTGGATGCTACTACTCAAGCCTTCCCGTCTTCTTATTTCTTCACTTACGCCTTTTCTCCCTTATGGTCCTGTTCCAACTTCACTTTTATCTACTAGTTTTCAACCCCCCGATTCTTGGGCCTCCTCCAACATGCTTTGCTAGGCGTTTATCTTCTAATTTCAACTCACATGTGAACGCGGAGCATCACTCCTCTCCTATCCACAAGCCCATGTCTAACCAAGTGGTCCATTCCAATTCATCGGCTTGCATTTGGAGCCCTCCGTCTTCCTTCAGATTGGCATGCCTCAACATACGCACATTGCTACATATCGGTCAACAGGCAGCACGTGCCCCAACATTAGAGACTCTCTCGATCGATATCTGCTGCTTATCGGAAACCCGCCTGCAAGACTCGAGCTCTGTGCTCACTCTGCGATCCCCTTCAGGTGACACAAGCAGTATTATCTCAGTGCGCCTATCCGGTGATGATGCAGCTTCGAGCACCGGCCAAGCTGGTGTTGGCATTGCCTTAAGTCTCCGGGCTGAAGCTGCTCTGGTTGATTGGATTCCAATCAGTAGCCGGATATTTGCGGTCCGATTGGCTGGCTCGTTCAAAGCTTCGAATCTGCGCTGAGCTAACAGGTATCTGTTCGTCGTTGCTGCCTACGCGTCCACAAACTGTAGCGATGATTCGGTAAAAGACGACTTCTACCACCAACTGACCCAGCTCCTTCGCCACAGAAGAAGCACCGACACAGTTGTGCTGGCGGGGGATATGAACGCACAAGTTGGAAAGTTGTCCACTGATGAAATTCAACTGAGCGGTCAGCACGGTGTAGGCTTCCGTAATGATACCGGTGAGCGGTTACTTCATTTGTGTGAAGATGTTCGCTTACTTTTTGCGAGCACTAACTTCCGACACAGCACTCTCCGGAAGGTGGCTTGACGCCCACCAGACTCGAACCAGATATGGACGCGAATCGATCACATTGCGATAAGTTACCACTGGAGAGACTGCGTCCATACCTGTCGCTTAATTTGGAGCACATGTGTGGACACCGATCATGCACTTGTATGTGCTGACATGCGGATGCGTTTTGGCGAACGCCCACGACGACGCTGTGAGCGCATTGACACCAACCAACTGAAAAAGTCAGCTGTTTTGAATGCCTATCGAAGTACGCTGTCATGCGAATTGATTAAGCGCTCACTGGAGACAGTTGAAAGTCACTGGTCGCATGTTCACCACACGTTACTAGTAGCAGGCATATCCTCATGTCTAACCGCCAACATGGATATTGGGTCTCATTGCAGTCTCTGGAACTTATCGATGCTCACCGGCATATCCCGGCTAGAAGCGAGCACAGTGAAACTCGCAAAGAGCTCCGGGCAAAATTCCGTGCTAGCCTGAAGAGAGACAGGGAATCCTGGTGGTCTCATCGTGCATCAGAGGTGGAAATGGCCGCTGCCCTTGGCAACCATCGTAAGTTATTCCGGCTGATACGGGAAACGGGCAGCAGAAGACCTGGTGTTTGTGAAACAATTTGTGATGAGAGTGGACCGCCTATCCACAATTTGTCAAAACGTTTGGAGCGTTGGGCTAAGAATTTTGAAAATCAATTTAATCGACTAGAATTGTTCAATTCGCCGGTCACTGATCGCCCTGCTCCGTGGGCTGTCCCTTTGGATCCACACTCTGGATCAGAAGTCGAACGTGAGATCGGACTGTTGAAGTTGGACAAAGCCTCGGGACCAGATGATCTTCCTCCAGCCCTCTTCAAATTCGGGGGACCTGCTCTTGTGGATAATTTACACGAGTTACTAGTCAAACTGTGGGAGCAGGAAACTGTCCCAACCGATTGGAGCCGCTCCGTCATAATCCCAATTTTCAAGGGAGGCTCACGATCGGAATGCGGCAGCCATAGAGGAATCAGTCTGATTTCTATTGCCTCTAAATTGTTTGCCTCTCATTCTCCACAGACTGACTGGCACTCGTGAAAACCAGATTCGTGAAGAGCAAGTCGGGTTTCATCGAGGTCTCGGCTGCATTGACCACATCTTCACTTTGCGTCCATTGTTGCAGCACCGTCACACATATCGGCGGCCCACTGTTGTCGTGTTCCGCGACATCAAAGGTGCCTTTGATTCGGTTGATCGATGTGCCCTTTGAAACTGTACTTAGGAAACTTGTGCCCGAGAAATATGTAAATATTATCCGAGCATTATCTGCGCGTAGCACGGGCAGAGTGAGGGCTTACGACAAGCTGTGGCCGCTCTTCAATATCTCCAGCGGTGTGAGACAAGGATGCCCGCTGTCACCTTTCCTCTTCAACTTCGCTTTTGACGAAGCGATGGAGATTGCATTTACAGTACATGACTTGGAAGGTGTGGAGCTGCTCCCAGGAGAACGACTTCTTGACGTGGAGTATACTGACGTTATTGCCCTAATCTGTGATAGCTCCCAGACGTGCCAAGCTGCAATGGACAGATTAGCACTGGCTGTCAACCGCTTCGGGCTTTGCTTTGCACCATCGAAGTGCAAAGCTTTCCTCCAAGATTGGCAGGGATCGCCTTCTGCGCTGACTCTTGATGGGGAGCAGCTGGAAGCTGTTTAAAAATTCATCTACTTAGGAAGTTGCATCAGCGCCTTTGGGATTGAGGATGAGATCACGAACCGTATAGCGAAAGCTCGAAGTGCTTTTGCTAGTCACACATGGCTGCTTCGCGACATCACTCTTACCCTGAAGGGTGGAATGTACAATGCAGCGGTACGTTCGACCTTACTGTACGGTTGTTAAATCTGGCCCCTAAGATCAGCGGACATGAAGAGGCAAGTTACGTTCGACCATCGGTGCTTTTGCATTTTGGCTCACATGTGGTGGGAACATCGCGTGACTAACGAGCGTGTTCGACGCCTTGTTTACGACACAGGAAAAGGAACTGAACTGCTCAGCAGCGTCATTTCACGCACCAGGCTCCGATGGCTGGGCCACGTGTTGCGCATGCTAGCTCACGGACTTCCGCGACGTGCGTTGTTTGTGTGCCGGAGGTGTGGCCAAGCGATGACTTGGTCCAGAGGAATGAATGCCCACACTTCGAAGCTGTCCTCAGTTGGAGCGGCACGGCTCCCTGGTTGGGTTCCAAAAGATGTTGAACACGTTTGGCTAGGTACACTTACTGACATGGCAAGGAGTCGACCTCAGTGGCGTTCGTGCTGTGAGTTTCTTTTTGTCTCTCTATCCCTCCCCTCTTCAGCCACCTCCCCATTTCGTAGCGTAATATAATTTTATATTATAATTTTTCTCGTTGCCTAGTAGTCGGCAGTTAGCTTACCGGAACGATGCCCATCCGTTGCTGGTATCTCAGCTGGCATGCAGCCGTTGTATTTGTTTTCCTTTTTTACATTTTGCGGCACAGTAGCTGAGATGTTTCCAATCTCTAGCTGACGTGTATCATGATGATGAATGATGGGGTAATGATAGCCAAGCTAGTTTGTTAGAGCAACAGATATCATTGCATATGCTGCGCTGGCTTGTACACGTGTTACGTATACCTGGTCACCGCTTACCTAGGAGGGCCTTTTCTACTCTCCCATGTGTGGGGTGGCGAAAAGCTCGTGGTGGACAAAGTTGTCTTGGCAGCGTGAGATGAAGTCACTGACGACCAAACTGGGGCCGTTGGCCCGTTTTTCCTTCCGGGATGGAGTCCGTGTGACCCGCCTTGTGCTTGGCTCGAGATTTTAGAGGACATGGCTGGCAGTCGACACCAGTAGCGCGCCTGCCGCCGTCTCCTAGTCAGATTGCCTTTTTAGTGTTTGGTGCCCAGTTATCTGCGGGGTAATGGCTGATTATGACGCGGGGCAGTAAAAGCCGCAAGGAAGCTATCTCGCCGATGCCGCCTTATCTTTGCACGATAGCCAGCTGTTTGTGACGGTATGCTATGGACAAGGTGCAGGCACCTTGACCTTGAATTTTTGCTTATGGGATTAATTCCTTCAGGTAAGTCCCCCTTCTTTCCCTCTTATTACTCTTCATTCCGTTTGTCATTTTGGTTGTATGGCTGCGAAACACCAGTTCAAATGACTGATGTACTGCTGTTGTTGATTGATTGATTGACATGTTTCCCTACATTTTTCGATAGTAAAGTGAATGTGAATGATGTATGCTCACTTATCTGCATTCCACCGGTTTTACTCATACTTTACTTTGGCTATACAATGTGTGGATGCTGCAGCCATCCTTGCCCCGGTAGTTCAAGTTTTTGACTTGTAACCGCAGATCACCATTACGATTCTTCGTAACTACGAGTGATCTCTCAGTATCCACAGCCCGCACGCTATTGTTGGTGAACACATACCGACGCATCACTGATACTCTGTGACTATGAATAGCCAGTTTGAAGCAAATGTCACCGACTGCACCACTTCCTTCTTTTGCTCCTCTCTTCACAGCAAATTCTCTTGTGACACACTTCTGCGGTGGGTCGTTTCCGCTGTCCTATCAGTGTTAGACAGTTCGTATTTTGCCAGGTCCTCTACTATTCATCTTTTGTGTATCTCTTAATTTACCAAATACTGTTCTGCAAGCGCCTCTCTTAAAACTGTGACTTTTTACACACTTCTTGTCATTCAGAATGGATTCTCACCTTATGACAACTTATTTGTGGCCAGATTGCTGGACCTTATCTCAGATGCATGTAAATCGGGTAAGTTGTTCCATTTTTCCTATGCATCTAATTTCATTTGCTGTACATAACCTGTCACAGGATGGATTAGGAATTAGATGCAGGAAACCAAATGCAGCAATGCCACCGACTGCTCGACTTTACCATGTACTATACTCCAGATGCTGGTGTGGACCATTCCGACGGCACACACACCAGCATGAGCAATCATCTCAGTCAATTTATTCATGACTTTATGCCACGTCATGGGCTGTCTACCTCGCGGTTTCGCCCAGCTTGGTGCAGCGACGGCGTACAATGGACGCCGAGGAAGCCGGTCAACGGGCATACAGATGGCATGACTCAGCCATTGTAAGCCGTTATGTCTCAGTGAACGGCTTCATGGCAGAGTGTATAAGTGCGGATCGGTCGCAAAAACATATGTTCTTGATCACATTTCTTCGGGTTCGCTGTGATTATGTAATATATGGGTGGGTCAGCGCGAAACGCCTATAATCCCTGCATGGCTACAGGCGTTTGGCGATTAGTCGCAAGGCATTTTAGTAAAGAGATCAATGTAATGTGCTTCGCAAAACTTATATACATAATCCGCTTGGTTTCAATAACATTTCGGCTCCAGGTAGACATACAGCATGCGTCAAAAGCGATCTTCATGGCACACTTGAGACGATCTCAGTCAGCGTTCGGCTCACCAACCTCGTTCATCACTGATAATTGGTGGGCCAGCTCGTTATGACATTGTTGAAATCAGACTGCGGGTTCAAGTACAAGGCTTACAAGTTAGGCAGTTTCTTTGAACGAGAAGAGTGCGCGCCAGGCGTGCATGCACTGGAGCATAGTTGGAATTCAGGCAAGTGCTCCAAACTAACCAACAGTTTTGAACTGATGCACGTTATCAATGGCCTGCGAGAAATCCGGTGGGCGATTGGTGACGATGTGAACGTTTGTGCTAGAAAGCATTGCTGTTAATAAGTGATCGGCACATAGTTGCAGGAATCGATCGCTATTGTTCGAAGTATTCAGTCCCTCGCCTTTTGCTCAAGGCAATGTGGTACACGGGGATTCGCTTGACGAACTGTACCCAAAGCGTTTGGCTCAATAGCGTGCCCTACCTGGATATTTGGAGCTCGAGTGTGTTTGCAAGGGCATAAGTATCTGGCTGTGACCTGTCACACAGCATCTGAAGTGTTAGAACAGTTCATATGTATTCGAAATAACTTGGAACACTGGTAGCTCGGCTTGGTTGCTCACCTGTTGATTGTTTTTCCGAGCTTGATTAAGAAATCGCATACGTTTCACCACCATGCGAGGTGGCATCTTCAGTGCAGTAATAGGCAGTGTGTATTGCTGCTTAGTGGATTGTCAGTCCGTCATGCACGGGCAGGTGACTTTTGAAGGTGGCGATTTCGATTTGTGCCACGTGATCTCTGTCCATTTGCTTCCACGGCTGAACCAGGTCTTGCGATTCGCCGGAGATCTTTCTTTCGGAGTTGATGGTACACGGGGTCAATGTCGATGCGCATGTTGATCGAATTATTAGAGGAGTACCATGCTTCTAGGAACTCTCTTCCTTTCTGTGTTGTTGTTTGAGCTAAAATCACTGTTTGGTCCCAATTGAAGCTATGTCCCTCCTCATCTACATGCGCTGAGACAAGAGACGATGCATAATGTTTTTTACAAGCCCTCTGATGTTCTTGTATTCTTGTGGATAATTTCCTTCCTGTCTGCCCCACATAGTTCATTTCACAATTATTGCAATTTATTTTATACACGACGTTTGTTCGTTCTTGTGCATTCCTCATATCCTTTGGGTTTGATAGTATTCTTCGCAAAGTAGCGGTTGGCTTATGCGCGACCACGATGTTGTATTGTTTGAGCAATCTGGCAGTCATTTCAGATATGTTCTTCATATACGGCAAAACGACCCTCTTGCTTGCATTTGGTATCGGCTCGGTGTTCATAACTTTATGGTTTAGACATCTGTGGATGAAGCTGCGTGGGTAGCCATTGCGCTCGAACGAATCGAATAGGTGCTTCTCTTCTTCCCGTTTGGCTTCCACTGTGCTGCAGTGTGTTTCAATCCTGCGAAATAGTGTCCGCACGCAACTTATTTTGTGGCACTTTGGGTGATTGCTATAGAAGTTCAAAATTTGATCCGTATGTGTTCCTTTTCTGTGAACGGATGTTTGAAATTCACCATCGTTTGTTCTGGTCACCAAAACATCCAAGAATGGGAGCATGTTTTCTGCCTCTAACTCCATTGTAAACTGAATCCCATCCATTGCATTGTTGAGCAGTTGGTGTGCGATTGCTACTTCACTGCGTTTCAGTATTACAAATGTATCGTCAACATAGCGTACCCACAACTTCGGGTTAATAGCTGGTAGTAGATCTTCTTCCAACTTTTGCATGACGATCTCAGCGATCAGACCTGATATTGGTGATCCCATCGGTGCCCCCTTCACCTGCTCGTAGATCTCTCCGTTGAACGAGAAGTAAGTTGTGAGGCATAGTTGGAGAAGCTTGCAAATGCTTGCAGTCGTCATACTCCCAATTTTCTCATCTCTGTTGTTCAGGCGTTCTATGATGGCTTCTTTTGCCAGTTGCAAATTGACAGATGTAAATAAAGCGGTGACGTCGAAAGAGACCATCGTTTCGTCATTATCTATATGCAGGTTCTTGAGCTTCTCTAGAAATTGCTCGGAGTTGTTTACGGAGTGCTGCGAACCGTTGAGTAGATGTTTGAGGCGCCTCGACAATTCTTTCGCCAGGTTGTAGGTGGGTGTACCTGGAAGTGAAACAATTGGTCGCAACGGAACACCTTCTTTGTGTACTTTTGGGAGCCCGTAGAATTGGGCGATGTTCGAGTCACGGGCTCTCATTTTATTCCTTTCAATTTCTGTACTTTCTTTCAACCGTTGTAGTTCATGCAATGTTTTGTTTATCTGGTTTGTTAGCTGCGATGTCGGATCGTAATTAATGCGACTGTATGTGCTTGTATCGTTCAGAAGTCGTTTTGCCTTCTCAATATAGTCTACTTTATCCATTATGACTGTCATACGTCCTTTGTCTGCAGGAAGGATAACAATTGAATCGTCGGATCTCAGGGCTTTCATTGCTTCGTGCTCTTGTCGAGATAGGACATTGTATTGCTTGACATGTGTCATGGCAGGGACGATTGTGTGTCGGATTTATTCCTGTATCTCTTCTCTAAGTCCATTTGACCGTACAGCGTTTTCGAATTCCGCTATTCGATTCGTTCGAGCGCAATGGCTACCCACGCAGCTTCATCCACAGATGTCTAAACCATAAAGTTATGAACACCGAGCCGATACCAAATGCAAGCAAGAGGGTCGTTTTGCCGTATATGAAGAACATATCTGAAATGACTGCCAGATTGCTCAAACAATACAACATCGTGGTCGCGCATAAGCCAACCGCTACTTTGCGAAGAATACTATCAAACCCAAAGGATATGAGGAATGCACAAGAACGAACAAACGTCGTGTATAAAATAAATTGCAATAATTGTGAAATGAACTATGTGGGGCAGACAGGAAGGAAATTATCCACAAGAATACAAGAACATCAGAGGGCTTGTAAAAAACATTATGCATCGTCTCTTGTCTCAGCGCATGTAGATGAGGAGGGACATAGCTTCAATTGGGACCAAACAGTGATTTTAGCTCAAACAACAACACAGAAAGGAAGAGAGTTCCTAGAAGCATGGTACTCCTCTAATAATTCGATCAACATGCGCATCGACATTGACCCCGTGTACCATCAACTCCGAAAGAAAGATCTCCGGCGAATCGCAAGACCTGGTTCAGCCGTGGAAGCAAATGGACAGAGATCACGTGGCACAAATCGAAATCGCCACCTTCAAAAGTCACCTGCCCGTGCATGACGGACTGACAATCCACTAAGCAGCAATACACACTGCCTATTACTGCACTGAAGATGCCACCTCGCATGGTGGTGAAACGTATGCGATTTCTTAATCAAGCTCGGAAAAACAATCAACAGGTGAGTTCATATGTAGTTTGCGACCACGACCGCCGTTGGGAGTTAGCGTGTTTCTGCCCATACGCCCTGTGGTTACCTGGATCCAGACAGGCTTTAGCAAACCCGTGAGCACAGGGCGGTGCGCCCCAACCGTCAGGTACAATGCGTGGCACTCGTGATCTACGCCAACCGAGCTGTGAGCTTATAACCCATCATATGTTGTCTCCTACAGCTAAGTCTTGCAGCAAGTCTGCTAACGACATTCCCCCATGCTTCGAGGAGGCTGATTTGATCTGATCCCTAACCATTGCCTGTCTGGTAGGAGTGACTCCGAAGGCAATTGCAATGTCCCACTCAGCGTAGCTTACTGTTTCACGAAGGTACGCAAACTATCGTACCTTGTTGTAGTCCAGTTTTGTCGCTATTCGACTTTAATCCTATCGGTTGTTACTCCACTGTCTTTTGAATTTGTTAGCTTCAATTCATTGCTTCTTTGAGGATCTCGCATCTACTCTTACTATGTTGTTCTCCTACGCTCTTAAGTTCGTGATTGCCTATGCACCTCCATCACACGCTAATCCTATATTCATCAATTATTCCTTTGAATTTACCTCTGATGACAGTCTCGCCCATGTCCAAGGAGTCCGACCAGTGGCCCTCCTTCGTCCCCGGTCTTGCGGCCTTCAACGCTAGAGCCCTTATGCAGATCGGATAACAAGCCAGCCTAGCGCATACATTGGAGTCTCTCGCTACTGATGTCTGTTGTCTTTTTGAGGCTGGGTTATAGAACTCCAACGCCGCACCTAAGTTGACGTCCTTTGCTTATCTTGGGATCGATTATTCCCTACCTTTGTCTGGTGACACAGACTGCTGTAGCTAGCCTGACTGGTGTTTGCATCGCTGCTCGATTGGTTCCTGATTAACAGCCCTTTTGTGTGCGGTTCGGCTTCCAGGCTCATGCAAGGTTAATAGGCATCGTACAGAGAGAGGCAATTGGTTTATGGTCTCCGCCTGTACTACAACGGATTGCAGTTGTACCCACGGACGCCGCGGATTGTTGCTTTACCGTGCTGGACTCTACTTTTGCTTTGAGAATACTGTGTTGTACTTGTTTTCTCTGTGTTAATTGTGCACCAATACTTTGCTTTTGGTTTATTTTTCCATCTGTGCGAATTTGGTGGATATTCTCCGGCTACTGTCGGAGATCTCACTGATTGGTCCAACTGCCGTCTGTGTCCACCATCTTCGATTTGTTCTACATAAATCGAACAGGTGTCTGCCAGACCACCAGCTTGACCAACGGCGTTTGGATTCAGCATACCAGTGCAGACGTTGCAACGAACGGCTTCCGCAGATCTGAGAGTTAAAATGGTACGTTCTGGTTGCCCATGGAAAGCTAAGCCCAAAGCTTCCGAAATGAACGTTAGTTATAACGTAGACAGCTGTGTAAAACATGTGCGATTTGGAATAGAATGCAGAAACTGCCGAAAATACTTCCATTCTCGATATGCTCGTCTTAGTCTCAGTTAGATAAAAAGCTTAATAGTACGACTGATTCTCTCCGGTTCTGCACTGTGTGTACGTCTCTTCCATTCCTCAGATGTATAACTGTGTTGGCGCAGAAGTACGATAGGTTGACAAAGATTGTAGAGCAGGCAGCAGCCGTCCCACATGAACCAGACAAGTCAGTGCCTCGAACTCGATGCTCAGCATCAAGCTCCAATTCAAAACAGTGTAACGATTCAGACTTAGCCACCCCGACACTTGCGTCTGCTCATAAAGATGCGTTCACCACACATTCCTCAACAGAATCCCCCGTCATACTAAACACTGTTAGAGGGCCGACAACCTGCGCGTCCGTTGCTGCTACCCATATGACGGAGGCACCTCCCATTACAACCCCGTCCGCTGGCAAACAAGTTACTACTGCCAATACCATCACGGGACTCAAGGCCCCGTCACTAGTCCAACCTAAGAAAGCAGCCACTGGTCCCTCCAAAAAGGAGAACATGAAACACTACCAGAATTCTCTGACTGTTATATGCTCTAATGTGAATGAATCCGGGGCGAACTCCATGGAAAATAAGATACTAGACTATAAAAAGACAGTGGGTCTCCCTTTGTCAACTAATACGGCTTCACGCTAAAGCAGTCAATATGATGCGTCTCGTCAGTCACCCAAACTCCGTACACTACGGTGAATTGTGGTTACTCCAGGTAACACTTCAGTCGGATACTGATGCAGAGGCAGTTCTCTTGTCAGCCACCCCCAGCCACATGCACTGTTCGAATATTTCCAAATGTTACTTGGAGCGAACGCCAGCAACGCAAACAAAATCCGGATGACTTCCGTAAACAATGAGACGCAAAATCTATCCTTGTTCTCGGTGTCCCCGACATCCAGTCACTTAGCGAGTTAGAGGTCAAAGCGCATGACTGGGATGAATGGCGTTTTATTCGGGAAGTACTCTCACTCGAAAATGTTATCGCTAATTCGATATCAAGGTTACCGATATCAACTAACTACAGCAGGTGTGGTCCCCGAGTGATGAAAGTATCATTGCACTCCGAATTGGTGGTAGAACGTGATCAAAATGTGGCACAAAAGGCGTAAAATGCTGTCATCCGAAATACATATAAAGGCAATAGGCACCGGGCCACAGATTGCCACTGTAGCACTAAGCAAACAACTTACCAATACAATTCTGTCACTGTGTAGCTCAGAACGGATACAATGCCAAAACACATTGACAGCTGAAGGAGGATAGGATGGTCAAACTCTTGTTGGCGCTGAGAGCTCTACACATCAACCTGAACTGGCTCTAGGGCCTGCGTCATCGGTCCTACAAACAAATGACCGTCAGCCGACCCCGCAAGAGTAGGCATAGACGCCGGTGAGCATCGATAAGTTTTTGAGACTGCAATGAGACCCAATATCCATGTTGGCGGTTAGACATGAGGATATGCCTGCTACTAGTAACATGCGACCAGTGACTTTCAACTGTCTCTAGTGAACGCTTAATCAATTCGCATGACCGCGTACTTTGATAGGCATTCAGAACAGCTGGCTTTTTCAATTGGCTGGTGTCAATGCGCTCACAGCGTCGTCGTGGGCGTCCGCATGGGCATCCACGTGTCAGCACATACAAGTGCATGATCGGTGTCCACACCTGTACTCCAAATCGAGCGACAGTTTTGGACGCAGCCTCTCCAGCGGTTACCGATTGCAATGTGATCGGTTTGCGTCCATAGCTGGTTCGAGGCTGGTGGGCGTCAAGTCACCCTCCGGCGAGTGCTGTGTCGGAAGTTAGTGCTCGCAAAAAATAGGCGGGCATCTTCACACAAATGAAGTAACTGCTCACCGATATCATTACGGAAGCCTACACCGTGCTGACCGCTCAGTTGAATTTCATCAGTGGACAACTTTCCAACTTGTGCTTTCAGATCCCCAGCCAGCTCAACTGTGTCGGTGCTTCTTCTGTGGCGAAGGAGCTGGGTCAGTTGGTGGTAGAAGTCGTCATTTACCGAATCATCGCTACAGTTTGTGGACGCGTAGGCGGCAACGAAGAACAAACACCTATTATTGCCGCTCGGCTTCGGAGCTTGAAACAAACCACGCAATCGGACCGCACACATCCGGCTACTGATTGGAATACAATCAACCAGAGTGGCTTCAGCCCGGGGACTCAAGACAATACCAACACCGACTTGGCCGGTACTCAAAGCTGCATCGTCTCCGGATAGGCGCAACGAGAAAGCACTGTTGTTGTCACCTACAGGGGATCGCAGAGTGAGCACAAAGCTGGAGTCTTGCAGGCGGGTTTCCGATAAGCAGCAGATATCGATCGAGAGAGTCTCTAATGTTCGTGCAAATGCTGCTTCTTGACCTATCTGTATTAACATGCGTACGTTGAGGCATGCCAATCTGTGGGAGGATCGAGGGCCCCAAATAAAAGCTGATGTATTGGGCTTGACTGCTTGCTTGGACATATGCTTGTCGACAGGACAGGAGTGACGCTCCGGGTTTGCATGTGGGTTGAAACTACACGATATGCGCCTTATCTTTGCACGATAGCCAGTTGTTTGTGACGGTATGTTGTCTACACAAGGTGTAGGCGCCTTGACCCTGAATGTTTGCTTAGGGCATTAAGGTTTTCAGGTAAGTCCCCCTTCTCCCTCTCATTCTTTATTTCATGGCAGCGAGCCATCTTCAAATGGCTGATGCACTGGTGTTGATAATGATGATGATGATGATATCAAAGCAGAGTGGGTGAGGGCCAAGCATTGTGAGGTCTAAAACGGGGGGGGATAAAAGTAAAGTTTTTCCACTGCAATGACTCTAATGCTGTAGACGAGGAACACTGATGTTACTCACAATGCAAGTGACTCTCCTCTCTAACTAGCCATGCGTCCACTTTCCCAGCGGACTGCTAAGTGCCCCTGTCTTTCTTTTGGTATGTTAGATGCTTGGTTGTAATCACTCCGCTACTAGCAGAGCACCGGCTCACTAATTACTTGATATTGTGAACCAACATACTCTGGGTTGTCTGATATGTGCATTTGCACGCAGGTGTCACATGGCGCTGTCTTTTAGCATAGTTATACACGGTGATTTGTAAGTCAAACTGTGAATAAGGCTGGTGTGTTTTGCTTGGGGCATTCTTTATCCTGGCTCGCAGCCGATGTGTGTATATGCCACCTCTCGCTTCTTTACGGGATTTCACATGAAAGCACCTTCTGATAGCAGATGGATTTCGTGTTCTCCGCACGAAGACACTGCACTCCACGACGCGTTTTGACCTTATTTAATCTCATCAGTTAGAAATAGAAGGCATCGAACCCGGGACCATGGGGATGCTAGTTGGTGACCTCTAACGCTTTAGCCACTGGGTCCATGCGAATCACGAATACTTCAAAATGACCACCCAATCGTTTTGTAGCATTCATTTTCTTTTCGTTCCCTGTATTTACTGTGACACGTTTGCTATAAACTTTCCATTGTGTGGGTTTTTTTACAAGTGTCATGTTGTTGCGCGTTTCTTTCCATATCTTTTTTCGAACTTAATGTAGGCTTCAGTTCTCTCATTCTGCCGCTATTTCACAATACCCCATACCGTCCCCAGATCGTGTTGCCTAGCTAAATGTCTACTCACACTTTGGCCTGTGTTGCATTCGAAGGCCCCAGCTTCTTCACTGTCTACAACAAAGTAGTCCAATGGACCACCTGTTGAATTGGAATATCGAATGTTGTTATCGTACCCACCAAGTAAACTGGGTAATGTAGCTGATTGAGGCGTTTTTCGCTATCTAGCAAGCATGCATCGAGAAATAAGCTCGGGGTTCCGGGACCAGGACTACGAGGTAACATGATAAACACTGATGTGCGTCAGCGTTTTTTATTTATCCACTACAGTTCTTGCTCTGACAACCGAAAAACCTAACCCATGATTTCTTCGTCCGCTACCCAGACACTCACTGACCCGTTTCATACATTTCACACTTTTACTAGACTAGACACATTGTGATCTCTAAATTCACGCTGCTCTGCTATTTCTTTGTCTGACATATCCATAATTTGCTTCCTCTTCCCTTACATCTGTGTGCAGGAAGCCGAGTTCGATTGATCACTCTCCAACTGGCCATTCGCCTGCTGACGGAGTTGGTGTGTGACGCGAAGAAACGATGCTTTCTGTCAGATCCTCATTTCGCGCAGATTGTCAGTGCCAGAGAAGAAGCGATGATGGTATTGCGTAGCTACTTCCAGGTTATTATACCTTTGTGATTTCTATTCACCTTCGTTGTCATAGCTGAGGATTAGTCGGCATTCGCTTAAATTGACTCCACTTACATATCGGTGGTCCGGTCATTTGCTTTATATCGATTTTGAAATTAACTCTCTGAACATCTTGTTGATGTCTCGGACTCAACTGCTGCGCATTCACCTAACCACAGCGTTGTACATTTTGACACGTGCTTCACGCCCTAAAAGTACACGGTATTGTTGCACTGATGCACCGACATACCACCCTTCTCACCGTCACTGAGCCAGTGCCAGAAAGGTCGAACGGTTCACTTATCTTGGCAACTCTGATGATTCAACCATCGCAGGGCTTAGTGTGCGAATTATTAAGACTTGCTTTTTCAGATCTTTGTAGAGATGGCACTGGGTTTGTTTAACAATTATGTGTAGCGTGAACGACGCTGTGGTATGATCCTTATTATTGTATAGCTCAGAGACAGTCACCGCATATTTTGGGTGCCGAATTACTTTTCACTGTTGACAGCTGGTATCTGCGTGACTTATCTCTGATGTGATTGGAACATTGGATGAGCCATTTTAAACTCCACTGGTTGATGTTTGGTAACAGACTCTCTGCATGCGACCGGTTCTTGAACTCCAATCGTCTAATTCGCGTGGGTTACGTTTTTCGGATCTCTACCGGCTTTCATCGTCGTCGTGCACTCTTTGCCCACGCTAAAACTTGTCGAGTACAACCGATATTATTATGACAGTGTGAAGAAATTGACTATACGACCTGGGCTGATTGCTGCGCACCATTTGCCTCATGAAATTGAGCACATCATAGGTCAAGACCTTTTCTCCTGCATTAGGTTTCGTCAGTCCACTTGTTCACCTTCCACTTCACTTCATTTCTCTTTCCATGATGCCCAGTTCTTGTTTGGCAACACTTTTTTCTCTTCAATTTATTTAGCGCCTCCTACTTATTCTCCTTCCTGTGGCGACATGGTCTATGGTAACTGGATCCGCCGCAATTCTTTCCTAATTGAGCCGCACATTTCCGGATGCGTTATGGCTGTCAGCCAGTCTCCTGCTGCGACGGACCCCCCTAGAGTAACTAAACTGAGCTAATACAGTCACGCATCATGACTTCAGAACAACATTCCATTCCTCTATTTCCGAATTTCTGGTGCATCTGTGGCGGTTCTGTCGTCTAACCAACTTTTGCTAACTCCAAACAGCATTCCACTACCTGTTTTGTTCACGTTTAGATTCCCAAGTGAAAGCTGCCTAACTGGAACCTATTGCAAAGAAATGGCTGACAGGCACCTGCACCCTTACCACATGTGCTTCTGCGAGCAAAACCTATCGCTACATCTAATCATAGCGAGTTGCAATTAGCATCTAGACTCTTCAGATACAGTGGCGATGATCAAACAGACTCCGGTTTACTTCACAATATGTCACCAAGTTGCTCATACGTGGCATAGTGAGTTCTTCAAAAATTCAAGAATAGATGTTGCCTATGGCGCTCCGTAGTGTAACGATGAAGTTGTCCAAACGGCACCGCTGCTTCCCTGGTTCAATGCTAGTGTTGTGGTAAAACAATCGAAGCGAACCGCCCCTAATTTTTTTGCTATTCCATACAAGATTCAAATGGTCAGACTGACTGAAGTACACATAGAGATAAATTGCGATCCCATTCAAGATTATACCTCCCATGCTACTTAAGTTACGGTTACTCCAAGCAATGAACTTGGGCTTTTACCGACTGTCTCCTACTTCCCTCCACATTATCATCTGTTCTGTGAAGTCCTAATAGCAAGAGAGCCGATTGAAGAGTACATTGTTGGCGACTAGCAACCTCGACACAACATCTGGCTCTTCTCATAAGCTTTAATTTCTGATTTAACGTTTTGATTCGTTCTCCGAGCTGAATAATTTGACGGCAAACCTTTCACCACTTCAGTCATTGGCATCTTCAGTGCACTGCTGCCTAGAGGAAAATCTCACCGGAAGTGTCGTCTGGACGTAGCGTTTGAAATTGGCCTCATCGATCTGTGTCCCGTGACCACTGTTTGTTCGAGTTTCGGCCGCCCAGTTTCACGCTTTCTCAGTTGTAGGTACACAGGATCGAGATCCGTGCGGAGGTTCACTGAATTCTCCGTAGAGAACCATGCCTCGAGGAATTCTCCTCCATTGTTACTCCGTGCACCCGAATTTCTGTGTTGTCCCAGTTAACATTTTGTCCTTTCTCATCAACATACTCTGAGATCTGTGAAGATGCATACTGGTATCGACGTGCACGCTTGTGTTCTTGTGGATAATTTTCTCCCCGTTTGCCCCACCTAGTCTTTCCCACAGTTGTCCTACTATATTCTGTGGACGACGTCCCGGCATTCGTGTTCCTCCAGTTTTCCTTTAAGTCTAGATAAGATTCCCTTCGAAGTCGCAGTTGGTACGTGAGCTATTATCAGGTTGTGCAGCTTGAGGAGTCTGGTTATCTTTTCCGTTACGTCTTTCATGTACGGCAAGGCAATGCGTTTCGCCGTTGTTGGTGCACGTGCGGTAGTTAAGCTCCTTCGGTTTAGTTGTCTTCGGATGAAACTGCATGGGTAGCCGCTGCGAATGAAATACATAAACAGATGTTCATCTTCCTCCGCAAGATTGCAATGCGATTCTATTCTACGAAACAGCTTATTTTGTGACACTTAGGGTGATTGCTGTTGTACTTCAGAATTTGGTCTTTATGTGTTACGTTTTTGGAAACTGATGTTTGTAATTCGCCTTCCACTGTTCTGATAACCAGCACGTCCAATAATGGTTGTTGATTTTCCACCTCTTTTTCCATTTTGAAACAAATACCTCCCATTGCATTGTTAAGTAGGTCTTGTGCGGTCTGTAGCTGGCTGTGTTTGAGAATCAAAAACGTATCGTCAACATGTCGCACCCATAATTTCGGACTACTTACTGGGAGTAGGTCCTGTTCCAATCTCTGCATGACAACCTCCGCAATAAGTCCCAACATAGGGATCCCACTGGAGCTACTCTAACTTTCTCGTAAAACACCATTGAATTTGAACTAGGTAGTAAGACACATCTCGTGGGGCTTACATATGTTTTCACTTGACAGATTCCCAGTCGTTTGTCCTCCATTGTTCAGACGTTCTCTGATGTTTTCTTTCGCTATCTGTAAGTTGCCAGAGGTGAAAAGTGCGGTGAAGTCAAAGGATACCATCACTTCTTCATGGTCTATCCGCATGCATTTGAGCTTTTCCAAAAACTGATGAGCATTATTGATCGAGTTTTGCGATCTGCTGGTCAAGTGTTTGATGCCTTTCCTTAACGCTTTAGCCAAATCTAAATTGGTGTACCTGGTAGTGATACTATTGGTCGTAGGGGCGCACGCTCTGTGTACTTTCGGAAGCCCGTAAACCGGTGCGAAGTTTGGATCACGAGCCTTCATTCTATCATACTCTCACTTTGTGAGTTGAGTTAAATCTTGTTGTCTCTCAACGGTCTTATTCACTTTATTTGTCAACCGTACTGTTGGATCGTTCTCCATGCGTCTATAGGTTGTTGTGTCGGTTAGGAAATAACTTGCCTTTTCATTATAATTAGTTTTGTCCATTATGACAGTCGTACGTCCCTTGTCCACAGGCAGGATTACGATGGTTTCATCGGCCTTCAAGAGTTTTAACGCACTCTTCTCTTATTGTGAAAGAGTTGTGTTGCTTGTTGCGAATCAAAACGTTAAATACCAACCCGAGCTACAGGTATTCCGAATTATTGCAGTCGTGATTTGTTTTAAAGTGTTGTTATGTGGTTCACTCTTTCGACTCTGAACACACTGACTGGCATTTTCTATTTACCTGATCCGATCCCAGACTTTTGATGTGGACGCTACCGATCGGGGAGTCTGCTGTTTCTATCGCAAAGCAATGAAAATGCTACTATCCGTGCTATGTGTATTGTGTTTTAACCTTTTCCACCGTCCTCATGTCAATCTCTCCGTTGCTCCCGTCTTTCTTCTCCAGAATAACGCGATATTTTTGGACCTGTTTGAAAACGAGCTTTATCAAATTCAAAAGCCGCCCGTTTCCCCAATGAAATTAGCGTTGGATCCCACATTGCTGGTTCCACAACAGCCAGCATCGCTTGCCCCCAACTCGACGCCTGCGACAGGCGTTGCTCATCGCGAATACTGGTGTCAGTTACCGCATTCCGACGTAGAGCATACGCAACGTGCTATTGCCATCTATCTCCTTTTGCACGTTTGGCTCGAGTCGCTGCTACGTGCACGTCCAAATGGGCATGAGGACGAACCGGTGCTAGATGAAGCCCTATCTGGTTCCTCGGAATCGCCTAGTTTGCCGGTACCAATGTTTCCAACCAACTTGTTTGTTGATCTGGCTGCGATTCCAGGTATTGCAGGATTAGCAAACATCCCTGATCCGAAATCGCCTGCACAATCCCACCGGGCCGGCGACAAACTTGATTTATGTATGTTCATATGAAGTGGATTCGTTCATCATTTTTCTCCACGCAACTCTTCTATAATAAGTTATCCCCATTTGAGTCAGAAGTAAACAAACGCGCGAAGAATATTCTTTTCGACAATTCTCATCGGGTGACAGTCTGATTGATCAAACCATTTAGTTCTCATACTGCCCAGTTAATGCGTTGGATGCTTTCTGTACAAGCTTCTACGAGCTTTATTCTCTCCAATATTTTGCTTCATAATTGTATACGCCCGATGAGAATTATCGAAAAAAATATTTTTCGCGCAATTGCTTACTTTTACAATTATAGTCTACTTGTTCCTACCTATGTGCTACTTTTAAAGTGCTTTTAATATCAGTTGGTCTCTGTTCTGCCACCATGGTCTCGTGCCGCACTTCACTAAAATGATGTTGTTGACCTTTGATATCTGTGCATTTTCGCATTGTCTCTTGATCACATGCATCCACACTTCTTTTTGCTTCCCTTTTCTTCCCTACGTAGCGATTGTTTTGTAATTCGGATTATTGACACTGTTCATCTTACAACATTTCGTTTACCACTTCTCTCACCTAAGTCAATTCCTATCGTAATCTTCTAATGTTTACAGCTCTGTATGTGTGAATTCTGATCGACAACTCTGCACTTTTGTTGCTACGGAACCAGCTGTACTTGCGTCGATTTAGTCCGGTCGGTGGTCTCAAGATTTACACGCCTGCCTTGTTGGTTGCAAGCAACCCGGTATACAGCCCACTCGCGACCGGTGGCGGTCGCTTGGCAGCGAACCTTTGGTGTGGTGCACTGGTGTACTGTCTATTCCTTATTCTTTAGTTTCCTCTTTTCCAATAATGTACCCCCATATTCTGCAACTTTTGTAGCCGTCGTTTTTTGGAAGTGTCACAACAAAAAGAAGAAACAGACTCAGAGGTAGGGATGCAAAGGTCCATGTGTTACGTGGTCAGAGAGCTTCCCGGTTGCTCAGCCCGAGTGAAAGGGTTGACTTAATTTACCCCACCCCGAGCCTTTGGTCTTAAAATCCTGACCCGCACGGCAGCCGGGCAAATACGAAGACCGTTTATACCAAATAGGCTTATTCGCCTTCTTTGTGTTTACTCGCGGTCGGTGGCCCGCAAGGTTGTTCATCCGCCCTCCATTAAATACTCACCTTCGGTTACAGAAGTGAGTGGACAGTGACCCCATAAGCCGGTTACACTGGTTTTGACAGCATCGTATGAGCTTTAGTGGTATTCGATAAAGAACCAAGTGACCAGTGCGTGACTCCTCGGTGCGCCCAGTGGCGTACAGCTAGAGCGAGCATTCCGGTAATTTACATTGTTTATTCGGAGAATTTCATGTGTTCATGTGCTCAAATGACTCATATGCATTTTGTCTCATCGCGTTCCACAGCTTCCGAAGCTTTGATCGGATGTACCGTGGAAAGTGAGGGCAGGTGAGTGAGTCGTTTCGTTCTTGTCTCCTCAGCATCACCACGCTTGTTGGCTGCGATGACAACTCTGCATGCCTAGCATGTCATGCAGGTTTCAGTTATACGCCATTTATCAGCAGAATTGTCATTAGTCTTTCTATTTATCCTTTTGTAATTACTCTGTTCTATGGTTGTGTGACTAAATATTTATATTACGATTCATCCATAAAAGTTCGGTTTTTTGTTTTGTAACCAGTTTGAACGCTGGAAGATGGTTATGGTCGGGAGACAATGCATTAGTTCGACACCCGTTATTACCGTGCACTGTTCACAGTGACATTTGTTTAACAAGGAGATCTGACATGCTGCGCAGTCAACTTGGTTTTACAACGAGCAGTCAGATGTGCGTGATGAGTTCTGGAAGTGTGCTGCATGAGGCAGATACTTAATACTGTGATCCTCATGACCACCGATACACAGTCATGTGTGTCTCAGTTTTAGGTGTAGGGTACATCTAGGACTTGCTGCAATGTGAATCAATGTCCCAACCGTGATGGCGTGTCGTAATCCAATAGTAACGAGCACTGCAGCCATTATTGGACTACTAGCCGCGGACCCTTCACAAATCCTAGTGACCTGGTTATCGTCGCGTTCCCCAGTAGCCGTGTGCAAATACTCGGCCAGTACCGCAGTGCAATGTTGATTGCTAACAGTACCAGAAAAGTGGCTGCTTAACATACAGCTCTGGTGGATATTTTACCAATTGTGTCCCAAAACAACTCGCAGTCTCGACAGACTTTCTTTTGGCAGTCCAGCCGCGATGCAGGTACTCCAATACACGATTAATGTTTATTACTCCACTTTTTGAGTCGCATCTTTCACCTTTGAGCTGTAGTTATGGACTGACGGATCTCATGTAGGTTAGTTCCCTGAACCAAATGAATAGCCAACAATCACAATGTCGTCCTCGTTTTGGTTCATTAGGTAGTCACAGCCGGAAATGGGGGGGGGGGGACCTCGGGATACAGTGCTTGGTGGCTGGCACCTTGATCACTACACCATTGAAAGCCGTGAGCAACACCCGTTACAGTGGTTAGCAATTTAATGTTTGACTTTGGAATATCCACCAGTGTTCTCTACCCAACAAAGGGTCGAAACCGTTTGGATCAAGCAACACTGGAAACGTTCCATTTTGAATACGGTCCTAGTGATCGGAATGGCCGAGGTCGACATTAGTGGCATGTGATAATCCAAAACACACGGCTGTTAATTCAAAGCTCAACATTGAACCAGGAATCACTTTTGCGCTCTTATTTCCCGGGCAAACTTTTCATTCACTCCTCACCACAGGCAACGTGTTTGTGTGTTAAGGTGTTCCTCGCATCATTCGCCTCTGATCCGGTAAGGGCTATTCCCATAACTTTATTCTAATGGTTACGGATGTGAACGGGGCATTTTCAGGTCTCGATGCAAATAAAGGTAACGCAACTTATTCTACGGAATCTGTCGGCAGCTTTCTTAAATGCAATATGATTCTTTATAAACCACCGATGGCTGTCTCTGAGCATCATCTGTAGCTGTTCGCATCTTCCTTCTTTCAGCTACGAAAAGCGCTTCCTCGTCAACTATAGCCAACAACTGGTGTTGGTCGAACCGGACTCACGACAGATAGGTTGGGGAGTGATCACTTTCATCGGTCCGCTTCAGGTGTGCTTGTTGTATTTCATTTTGTTGCTTTTTCTCAATTGGGCTTTTCGTTGTCCTTTGTCTGGTTGATTGGCTTGCATTAACGCACGTCGGGCATTCGCTTTGTCAATGTCATGTTGCATATTGGTCATTCCTTCGAATCTTTACCATGTCACACTGTACCGCGGTACCCTCTTAAACAATCGTCGATTATCATATGGTTGAAGGATTATTCTATGTTATAAGAGTCCATTGATTTCTCTCCCCAACTTCATATATCATCAAATTTCGCGCTGCCACTAAAAAATCCAACTACTACTAGCTGCAGTCAGAAGGCACAGCCACGAAGCCAATGCTTCTCTTGCATGCACTCTCTACAAACTAACAACATTCGAACCATTTACTTACCTTTTTTCCATCGGCAGTAGCCCTGGACCGTTGTCGTTCCTCATACGAACAACGGGAAATGCCCATGTTTCGATTATCACGAATAACATAGACTATTAAATAGAGTGAAAACACGTCTTTTGGTTTCTGTTTCGGAGTTGTTAGTTGTGCTGCCGATCACAGCATCTTCATGCTTCTGTGCCAACCATAATCTTAGCAGGAATATTTACATCACACCACCCTGTACGCTCTGAATCGTTGGCTACTTTCGATCAATGTTTTTTTACATTGCATTCAACCACAGACAGGACGCGTTTCCGCAAACTTATCGGTCGAGCTGTAATGCCCATCTGTATTCTTGTCACGTTCCGGCAGTCATCTATGTAGCACTAACTATTCTGGCACCGTCAAAACGTCCAGGTTTGAGATAACTAAGTGGTCACTTTGGCTCGTAATGCGCGAAGCATTAATATCAGGTCCGCAGTTGCCAACGACGCGTTCGAACCAGCTGTTGATTGTCATTTCTATTAATGGTATAGGTAGAAATTCGTCACATCTAGACTCACTCAGACAGCCGCCACGCGTCCGGAAAAGCACTGTACGCGCGTTTTATCCTTTCGGGAATCATCAGCAGTGCGCATTCCATCGGACCATTGGTAGGGCTCGAGCCAGCAACTCGACTGTTGCCAGTCCGTGGTTGAGACCACTGAGCTACGGGGGACGGCAACGACCATCGTGAATAAGTTACTAGATGTGATATAGCGCCGCTCACTATCCACTGACTTACACGTTACTGCCGTGCAGAGGACAGGGTAGCCCCATCACCAAGCGACGAGCTTACCAAACTTAAGCCGCCAATTATCTTATGGCATTATAAGCAGTTTGGTCTGCGTACTGATTACAGAAGAGTAGTAGGGGGAGTTGAATGGTATAGGTAGAAATTCGTCACATCTAGACTCACTCAGACAGCCGCCACGCGCCCAGAAAAGCACTGTACGGCGTTTCATCCTTTCGGGAATCATTGGCAGTGCGCATTCCATCGGACCCTTGTAGGCTGAGTCGTCTAGCCCTACTTGGGACTTTGACGCCACAATTCTCAGCATGGCTGAAATTCGCGATATCACCCCGTGATGTTGCCGAGTGTCTGGAGGTTGGCTATTTATGGCTATACTCATTATATTCGACACGGAATTGTGCATACAGAAGGTGCCATATAAACGTTGGTTGTCACTTTTCACCTTATCTATTAAGGTGCTTCCATCTCACAATACCAGTCTTCTCATTGTCTTATTTAGAATGATAAGGGAACTCAGTGCTTTAAAGGTGACTACAGTTTATCGACATATTTAAGGTTTGGTTTCTGTATTATTACCTCGTAACTTCTCACTGTGACTGCTCATTGTCCTCACACATTGATCCTATCGGTTCATGTTATTTAATCACTCATTCGGGGATCGATGTGCGGTTTGTGGTCGACTAAAGGCAGACACTGTTGCACCAGTTATCAGTAGTATAGATGTACCGGGAGGCCAAACGGCGATAAGCAAACAGCATGCCAATATAACTCCCGGAGATGGATGGACCACTTGGGAACCGCAGACGTATGCGCGCGAGAAATGGACACATCCACATTGTACGCCAGTAGACACAGAAGCAAGGCGCGCCGTACAAACATGCAGCAGGGAGTGCGTAGATGAGCGGGTTTCGTTGATCAGAAATGCTGTTCAATACAATAAACAATTCCGTCCGCGCCTCAGATTCTTACAAGTTGATCTGGCTGCATGGTCCGCGTTACTGCACCATTTCTATTGTTATTATTACCAATATTGTTGTCGCAAACAACCGTGTTTCACGCACCAATTTGACTCACACCTGGAGACATTCTACCGTTTAGCATCCTCCTTCGTCAACACAAGCATGCTTTCAAGTTTAGTACCTTACAACTAATCTCTGATGTTGACGCAGCGCACTGAACTGCATAGCTTTTTGGTTCACGTGCTTTAATTCCTCCCACACACTAGTCGGTGCAGCTGGCAACATGTGCATGGTAAGATTGACACGAACAGACTAGCTGGTCACTCCATCTATTTGAGCTACCAATCTTTACTGTCAGTCGCACACATCTATAATCCACTCTAAGATACCAAACCACACTAGCGTTTCTCGCACAAAAAGCTAATATCCTTCAGCCAATCAAGCTACAGGCTCACTCGTCACATCTCAAACTGTTGGATGCCTACTCGCTCATTGATTGTTTTCGTCAGATCGCCAGGAACTCGAAGGTCGTCAGTTGATATCCTTTTAGTGAATTAAATCACATATTTCGAACTGTTTTGCCATTTCCCACTTGCAGACCTGTGCGATTAGTTGTGCCGCCATTGCCACTAGCCAATTTGTTTATTTAAAGTACCTACATTTTTTCTAATCACTTTGCATGGTAAGGATGTCCTACGAAACCCGTTGATGAGGTACCACTTATGCATCTTTAGTTCAACCTGATGCGATGGCTTTTGTACTTCCGTGGCCCATTGAGCTACGCTGGGTGGCACCTTTTAAGTACCTTCAGAGTCACTTAATGGTTGGGGATCACACCAACTAAGTCTCATAATCCTCTTCGAAGTTCGGAGAAAGGTCGCTGGTTCTCTTCTTTCAAGACTTCCTCATGAGAGACAACAGGTGTCAGGGTATAAGCTCACGACTCGATTGACTTGCAGCATAGGTATTATGCATTCTGTCTAACAATGAAACGCACAATGCGGTACTCAGTGGCTTGCTACCGCCCGCTTCAAGCGAGCCTGTGTCTACTAAACCTAGTGCAAACACGCCAACTCCCACCTGCGGTTGGCTGTGGTCGCAAATGCGCAACGTGCTGCCTTTAAAATACACGTAAATAGTTCAAACTCTTCAAAAGCTGATTGTGATAGGTGTCTATCGTATCCCAGTGGGTCTCTGCAATCATACCACGAAGCTGCACATGTTCCTCACTGCCTTGTGGGTCATGATGCTGAGAAAAGACTTCGCGACGAACCCTTCAATCAAATCCCCATGTACCCCAAGGCGTTCTGGATCAGACCGTTGAGTCAAACACTGGGATTTGGGAACCCCGAAGGAAACCCATTTCGGGAATGGATAACTGGAGTGTATCATCTGCCCTCTGGTCCTCATTAATACTACAATTTCTTTTCTATACCTTTTTCCTTTTCAACTCTCTTCCCTGTCTACTGGGCAATATACTGCCGCAGACATCGCAATAGCTACCCGTCCCCCAAACCGAGTGTCTGATTTCCCATTTGTTGTTTTACGCCCACACTCTGTCAGATTGGTCAACAGGTAGCACTAATTCTCACTCTCCACTCTCTTTATATTAGTATGTGCTGTTTCTCCGAACTAAACGTGCATGCTAATAGCATCGTGCGGACACTTCGATTCCGCGGTTCCGAAGGTGTCACCAACAACAACAACACTCTGTGTTCCTGGCTTTACTGAGACAATGGCTCAGGGTGTTTGAGTTGTCAGTATAGTCCTCAGGAAACATGCTGAAGCAGTCTAGTTGATTGAATACCAGTGAACAACGGTCCGTCTTCAACCTCTGATGGACTTTTTACGCACCTTTTGAAGACAACGTGCATTTTCATAGCAGTATATTATCCGGAAACTCGTGTCACCGACTCGCATGAGTGCCGTCTCCGATTATGGTACAGTGATTCATCCCTTACAGCTATCGTTTATCGTCTCCCAACAACCACTCGGCAAATAGACTTTTGTTACTCGCCCTGAGCAGGGTAACATCCTACGTACAGCCAAATTCTCAACGCACTGGATTTCAACGTGCATGATTTGGAGGCATCGGCATTCCCCAATGAACAATTTAAAGCCGGTCTGCTTGCACTTACCGCGTATATTCCCTTGTGCATCTTTGTCACGTCGCTTACAAGATTCCGGATAGTAAGAAACTCTTCATACCGGACCTTGTGCGCACAAGAAACATCCAACCCGATACGCTTTCCGCCATCCTTTCACCAAACAAATCCCTGACATCGGACCCTTGTACACTACCAGATGCACTAAACAATCACTTCGTTTATTGTTCACTGTTTCACGTGATGTACTCTTATCGAATACGCCCCACGGCGTATAAACCGATTACACTCATCCTCTTATCTTGACACGGGTGGTCACCCCATATCCCTGTTAAAAATCGTGTAAGTGGTATGTGGAGCGTTCCGAAGTTGTTCTCTCCCATCCATGCACTGTGCGACGCGTTCCATCCTTGTTGGGACCCATCAGACATAGATACCATGTGTTGAAAGAGGAAATCGGTACAGCGTGGTTGGCGGCTATTGCATGATCATTAGGTCATTGAACTCCCCGAACTACGTGGAATATTTCTCGCTTGTTCGAGATACAGTCCAACTGCCGCATATTACCGAATATAAGCCGAAATTTTTGGAGAATTTTTAATTGTGCAATTGGGTCGGCCTATAAAAAGGTTATGCGCAATTTGTAATAAATTACATGCAAAACCCATCCAGTTCACTGCACACCACTTCCCTTATCTACCCTTAGCACCATCCCCTAGTGACGGAGGATATTCCATACGGGGATTTGAAGTGCCTCATTTGTTCGTACGATGT